CCAGGCTGGGTTGGGTGTTGAGGACAGGGCTGTAGATGCTGGTGGCCATCTATAGCCCCACAAGACTCGCAGCAGAGCTGCCCAGGCAGGCATCAATGGCCAGGGGAGGGGAGTGGGTGGGTGCCATGGAGCCTCCCGCAGCTGGGTGCTCGGTGTGGCTGGTGCTGGTGCCACCATCCCCCGGGTGCTTGGTGGGGTCCACTCAATGTGCTGCCCCAGGACGTCCTGGAGAACGAGAGCATCAACCTGGACTGGATGTTTCGCTACTCCCTCATCAACGACATCGTCAAGGTACCCAAGTGAGGGGCACGAGGGGCTGTGGGAGGTGCCTGAGGGATGCCAGCTTCACAATGTCCATCTGTCCCAGGGAATGGCCTTCCTGCACAACAGCATCATCGGCCACCACGGCAGCCTCAAGTCATCCAACTGCGTGGTGGACAGCCGCTTCGTGCTGAAGATCACCGACTACGGGCTGGCCAGCTTCCGCTCACCCTGTGACGGCGAGGACACGCACGCCCTCTATGCCAGTGAGTGCCCACCGCCGGGGACCGGGGGACCAGGGGGGTGGAGTGGCCCTGACTCACCACCCTGTGGCCGTGTCCCACCAGAGAAGCTGTGGACAGCCCCGGAGCTGCTGCAGAAGGGGCACCTGCCCACCCCGGGGATGCAGAAAGCTGATGTCTACAGCTTCGGCATCATCGTGCAGGAGGTCGCCCTGCGCAATGGCCCCTTCTACATCGAGGGCATGGACCTGAGCCCCAAAGGTGAGGGTGGAGGGCGGGTGTGGGGCGGTCCCATCCCCACCGGGGAGGTCCAGTGCTCACCGTCGGCCACCCCCCGGCAGAGATCGTGCAGAAGGTGCGTAACAGCCAGAAACCCTTCTTCCGCCCCTCCATCGACATCGGGGTGCACAGCGAGGAGCTGGCAGTGCTGATGGAGCGCTGCTGGGCGCAGGAGCCAGCCGAGCGCCCCGATTTCAGCCAGATCAAGATCTTCATCCGTAGATTCAACAAGTGGGTGGCTGGCGAGCGGGGAAGGTGGCCCTGGGCGGGAGCGGGGACAGTCATGGGGGCGGTGGTTGGGGGGCACCTCTTCCCGCGGTGCCAGCTACCTGCACCCCGGCAGGGAGGGCAGCACCAGCATCCTGGACAACCTGCTGTCGCGCATGGAGCAGTACGCCAACAACCTGGAGAAGCTGGTGGAGGAGCGGACGCAGGCCTACCTGGAGGAGAAGCGCAAGGCGGAGAACCTCCTCTACCAGATTCTGCCCCAGTGAGAGGGGGAGAGACGGGAGCGTGTGGGTCTGGGGGTTGGCATGGGGTCAGCATGCACCCGCTGCCGTGCAAGCATGGGGTCCCTTGCCAGCTCTCCATGCCGGCGTACGGCAAGGGACG